CATGCGGCCCAAGCCGCCAGGCAATGATTGATCACATTAGACACTTTTTCACCTGTTTCTGCTGTTGCGAATATGACGTGAGAACAGGTGTCTGTGGAAACATGAACATATTTAAGAGTCCCAAACTCCTGTATATGTGTGATGTCCATCTGCCAAACATCACCAGGGATCAAACCTCGAGGGTTTACTCCCATCGGTATGGCAGGTTTGTATGTGGCACAGGAGTCACATAGTCGCACGATATCTCGTGCATCTGCTCTGGAAACATGGAAATGGTTTGCTAGTGTCCTGGCATTGACATGAAACTTATCATGGAAGGCACGGGCTCGCTCGATTGGTGTTAGTAAGGTAAAAATCCATAACGGGCGAGTGGCAGTATCAGCAGCCGCATTCCCCTGTGCCATGGGCCCCGGCAGGGATGTATGTGCTCTTATGTGGGTGGTGAAGACCTTATGGTGTCTGTTCTGAAGCAATGTCTGGATAGACAGGAACAGCCCAGCCACTGTGGAAGTGGATCTAATTAAACCGGCAGTCTCAAGCACTTGCATAGCATTGACCACATACCTAGAATCGGAGACAATATTAATGGCTTCTGAGAACCGTTCAAGAATCGTTTTAACGATCTGCAGTTTTATCACCTGAAGCTGATCAGGTTTAAATTGTATGGTAACCGGGGGCTTGCCTAGGATCACATAGGCGCCTATCCCCGTCTTGGAGCCATCTGTATATATTGTAGTTGCTGGGACTAATGGCTCAGAGGCAGTAACCTTTGGAAAAATTACAGGGTGCTGAGTAACAAATGACAAGATAGGGTCTTTAGGGTATTGATTGTTTATATCCCCATGGAAAACACATCTCAGAATGGCCCATGTATCTATGCAGGCAGCCAGGGTCTTGATCTGGCTGGCGGTATAGGGTACTCAGATGGCTTGTGGTCCTGAGCCAAAATGTTGGACAGCTCTATCATGCGCTTCAAGGGCCAATGAAGCGACTGCCTCCGGGTAATGCTCTATGACTTTTGCAGGTGAGACCTTAGGGTGTATCCACAGTAATGGTCCTTTCTGCCAAATCACCGCTGTGGGCTGTAGACTAGTCTGTAGCAAACAGACATCAAAGGGTCGCCCTGGTTCAATTCTGTGTAAGGTAGCCCCACCTAAGGCTTTTTCCACTCTCTGTAAGGCAGCTCTTGCCTCAGGAGTGAGCCTCCTGTGGGAGGCTATATCTGGGTCTCCCTTTAGAAGGTCGAACAGGGGTTTGAGATCTGAATTTGGTATATGTAAATATGGCCTAATCCAATTAATGTCTCCCAATAGCTTTTGCATGTCATTTAGGGTCCTAACGCCATCCGTCCTAATGGTGACCTTCTGTATAAGTCTGGAGGCGACACTGAGGTCCACACCTGCTGACCCAGGGGTGGCCCTTGTTGAAGGCTGCCATCCTGAGCTGTCCTGTCTCTGGGGCGGGGGCCCGCCTGTGAAGGGGGCCCCCTCTGGCCGTTTTTTGGCCCTCTAGCATCTCGTCCACAAATACGGTTGCCCTGAGCATCAAAGACCGACCTACACTCCTCAGCTTTGTGTGATCCCCTCTTGCATCGCCCACAAACATATGGTTCTTCATTCCTAGGGCGAGGCCTAGCATCTGCATTGTTTGGGCAATGACGTTTAATGTGTCCTGGCTCCCCGCAGGCAAAACACCCTTTAGCCTTACATTCCCCTTCTAACCCGCGAGGTCCCCTCTGCTGTACAGCCGCGGCCAGGAGAGCAGCCACTCCCGAGTTGGAGAGCGGCCCCCCTATCTCTCTACATATCCTAATCCAGGCGTTGAGGTCCTTGTTCTTATGAGGAGCTATCGCTGCCTTGCACTCCTTTGTACATTGCTCGAAAATCAGCTGCCTTACCAGCGGTCGAGCCACTCCCGGATCAGAAAATATCTTATCGGCAGCATCTTGCATTCGGGCCACAAAGTCAACAAATGGCTCTGTGGTACCCTGAATTATTTTTGAAAGACACAAGGAGGCTGTTCCGGCACCACTTACCTGCTTCCAGGCGCGGAGCCCTATGGCGTTGATTTGTTCATAGACAGCGCCGGGGAACTGAGTCTGATCATCAGCGTGCCGACCTTCTCCCATAAGCATTTCCTTGTTCCACCCCCGGTTTCCCCGACTGGCGTTTCTCTCAGTCTGCTCTGCAGAGAACTCTGCGTACCAGGCTCGCCAATCCAGGTAACTACCCGAGGGCAGACACGCCTTTGCCAGCTGAATCCAGTCCGCGGGGATGAGGGGCCCAGAAGACAGGTTCTCCAGCATGGCAATGGTGTAAGGCGCAGTCGGCCCAAAGGTTGTAACTGCATTTTTAAGTTCTCTAATCTGCTTTATCTCAAAAGGCTCCCATGCATTACGTCCCTGGCCCATAGCTACTTGTACAGGAAATATCCCGTAGGGGCCACTATCTATCCCAGGTGGTGGATGTACCTCATGAAACAAACGTCCCCCCTGCCAAAGCCGCCTGTAAAAATACTGACCCGCCGGCGGCGGAGCATAAGACGGCGGCCATGATTGGGCGGAAAATGGGGGCCCGTGCATCACTTCCTGTTCTGGCGAAGGGGAAGGGAGCTCCCAGGCGGCCGCCTCGCGGCGAGGGATCGCCTCCGGGAACAAGTTCCAGGGCGGAGCAGAAGGTTCTGTCTCCCTCCCCTGCCAGGGGGCGCTCAGATGCTCTCTGCTTTTTCGTAAGCCTAGCTGAGCGGAGCGCAATTCGCGGCGCAACACAGCGAAAGAGCCTTGCGTCTCCCCATCAAGCGACTTAGGCCCCTGACAGCTGGTCTCTTTGGCCTCCTCACCATTCAACCTTCCCTCGTCCTCGGAGTCAGACGACTCCGAGGCTAGAGCCCCGTCCTTCTTCTTAGCATCTTTGTTCCCCTTGACGGGCCCCTCTCGGGAGCTCCCTGACTGGGCCTGCTCAAATACCCTGCGTACTTTTGTAAGCTCTTGAGAGCTTTCTCCACAACCACCCTCGCTCTTAGTGTTGCTACCTAGCATGTTTCCCATCTTTTAATATGTTACTCACCGCGTGAGGCCCAAGGAATCCGCCACTTACGCGTGAGCCTGAGGGGAGTCTAAAAGCCCTGTAGGTGCGCACCACCCAGAGCCCAGGCTTATCCCCAACTCACCTGTCTCGCAGCTCTGTACTGGAGCGTTGTCCGCTGTCACGTCTCGGGGGTGATCAGTCCCCGTGCGGGCCTCCAAATGTCGATGTCCGCTCCCGGCCGGCAGGAAGGACACACGACAAAGCCTGGCAGTGGACAACCTTTTCTTTTATTTTCCTTCTCCGTACAGCCTGCCCTGGGATCGCTCCCAGCCGAAGCCTCCTTTGGTCCGCTCCCCGCGGCTCCTTCTGGGCTTCTACTTCCGGGCTTCTTCTTCCCCCCCAGGGGTGGCACCAGTATATATACGGATACAGTGTCCAATCATGTTAAAGTAAGCAAGGCAAGCTGATTGGCTAACATCATCAGTTGCCAGGCAGACTATATTGTTGAGCGGGTTGCTTACGCGGTAAGCAGGAAACTAACGTGCTCGATGGGAGGGGTAATCTACCTCAGGCTTTACTCTTTACTACAGGCCTCACGTCCGCCAAGTGAGGCGACCGGGCTCGGGGCTGCGGCTCCCAACAGAATGTTATGATGCTAATATAATCTGGTGTTGATAGACTTATTACTTGTTCTTAAAGATTGTTAAACCTGGGTTTTAACAATCAAGTTGTATCTTAAAAACTGGTTTAGAAAAATGTATCTGGTTGCCAAGTTGATGAGGGGTGATTATAATGATTGGTACATTGTGTCCATTTAAGAAATCTAAAAACTTAACAAAGGAATTCAGCAGTTTTATTCTGCACTAGGGTGTAGAGGGTGGCTTGGTGCTCTAGGTTACTGTTTCTTATGTCAATTTAAGTTGAGAAGCTTTACTGAGTGACTCAACAGGGGACTTTATAAACATCCTGACCCTGTACAAGAGGAGGGCACAGAGATGATATGAGTGCTATACCCACCTGAGGGAGTGTAACCTGTGTACAATGTAAGAGGAAAAAAGAGGCTTGTTTCCCTTTTTGCTGTTGTTGCTTTTGTTGTTTTCTGCCTCCTTCAACTGTTGCCCATTTGCCATGCCCCCCTGCTTTGGAGCCAACTGACTATAGATTTAAATCTCTTAAAAACTATGAGCTACCTTTCCTTCCTTACTTTTGGGTACTGGGTGTTTTGTCTCAGCAATGAGAGAAAAATAAGACAAAAGGGTGTATTTTAAAATAAGTCAGTGCAAGAGACTAATTTTGAAGTGTATATATGCTACTTTGAAGTTTGAGGATAATCAAGCATTTTTACACACTGTTGCTATTTGGTAGTGTTATTGTTTTACATTTTGGAATAATTATCTGCCATATTGTAGTATTTGTAACATTACATGTATTTTTGCAAAGTAATTGTTCATCTATAATCGAATAATGTAATTATTTGAAATTATAATAGTTTATGAAGTATTTCATTGACCCTTTAGGAAATATTTTCAAATTTATAAAAACTTTTCTTTCCACAATGGGTTATATTAAAGCAAAGGAAGTTTTCTTTGTATAATTAGGCTTTTAAAGAAAGTTTCTTTTTTTAAAATGAATTTTATTGGTATACTTTTGATAAATGTAATGATCACATTCATTATAGGAAATTCATACATAGCATATCTTGGTTCTTTTTTTTTTTCTTTCCCATTCCCTTCCTCTCCTTTCAACCCTACTTTCCTCATTTGCCAAATCTTTTTCTATATTTCTTTCCTTCTACTATTTTTTTTCCTTTCCTTCCCTACCCACCACTCTTGCTTCCCTTCCCATTTGAACATTTTCAAAGGAAGTTTCTTAAGAGTGAGTTTATTCTCAAAGTGAGAACTTATAAAGTTAAAATTTAAGATGAGAGTCAAAGCCTTAATCTTTAATTCATGATTGGTAAAATTTCTTTTTCAGACGGCAAATGGCTACATCTTGTTTTTTCATATTACATCTTCAAGAGGGGACAAGTACCTTTATGAACCAGTGTATCCCAAGTAAGTTACTAGCTTTTATGTTTGTAATATTTGATTTGTATCCTTGATATTGAGAGCAATATTGCTATTTTGAGTTGTCTGAAGTTATTAAAATAAGCCAGCGTTTCAAAAATAGTGTTTCATAAATTACCTGGTCTTTAATTTCTTGAAAAATGGGTTCTGTAATTGGCTTAGATAAAATGGGTTCTGTAATTGGCTTAGATTGATCACTGGTCTTCATTAGGGAAAAGCTAAGAGATGATGAAAATTGGTGAAATGTTAGTAAGTTTCAACTGTTTTTGTATATGCATAGAAAGCAATACCTGAGACAGTTGTTACTACTTTTTTAAAATTTGGAGGAACATGAGCTTCTGCTTTTTAAACTTTGTAGCTTTGTATATTTCACATTTTCTCCATAGCATGTTACTTCCAAAATAAAGGAATACAAAAGCATTTTAAAGCATTTAATTTTTTGTTTTTTAAATAAAAGTATGCTATAAAACAGATATAAGCCATGTGTGGTGACACATGCTTATTATCTCAGCATTAGGGAGGCTGAGGCAGGAGGACCAGTGGAAGTATAAGAAGGCTAACCTAGGCTACATAGTGAGTTCAAGGCCAGCCTGGACTACATAGTAAGACCTCTGTCTCAAAACAGAACAAATCAAAACTAGATATAATATGATTGTCACATTTCTAGATAGTAGAAGAAATTCAGCATATAATAAATACATAAGAAATTAATAAGAAAAATTGTTATTTGAAATTAAACTTCTGAACATTAACAAAAAGAAAGAACATTAATGAAACAAGCAGCAAGCATAGAAAAAAATCTTTGTAGAAAGTAGGGCCAAAGCTTATTGTTTTTACATAAATTGCTACTACTTACAGAATGTAATGGATAAATAGATAAAATCAGTTTTGTAAGAGGAAATGCAGTGATTAAAAACAAGAGAAACTGATCAGTTGCAGAAGTATCCCAATAAAATACTGAATTCAGTTTTTTAAACTCACATTTCAGTAAATGAAATATTTGTGTATTTTAAAATTAGTCCTCGGTGAGTAAATATATAGTGAATCTTGTATTGCATACTTCTGATAGTAGCTACACACAAATTTTCTAAAATATTAAAATACAGAAGTTATATCCAAGGATGGTAGTGTCCACCTGTAATCCCAGCACTGTAGTAGTTACCAGTAGGAGAATCACAAATGTAGGCCTAACATGTATAACAGCAACTTAGTGAGACCCTATCTCAAATTAAAGAATTACAATGGCTAGAAAGTGCTGGATTCATACCCCACACTGCAAAAAATAATTAGACCAACGTAAGCAGAAAAATCCCAGGAAATTATATTTAATGTAGTTAAAATCAGTGGGTTTGAAAAATTCAGGGCAAAAACAAACTGATGATTTCCCAAAAAATGACACTATGAAAATTGTGTACGTAACATTTGTTTATATTCTTGAGAATATACTTTGAGAAAGGCTACTCTACATCATGTAGAATATAGGTCAGATCATTTTATTATAGATTCTAAGAAACTGTCCAGACTTGCCAACTGTTATAACCACTTGTTTGTTAAAAATGTGTGTGTGTGTGTATACGTATGCATGTATGCTCATATATATAATGCTGAGTCTTTAGTTGAATTTTGGCTGTCTTTTGTAAAGCATCAAAAATTTGAATGATGAGGTTGATTTATCAAGTTATTTTCAATGTAAAACCTTTAGTGTAGAAATTTTTTTGACACAGATATGCTGCCTAAAAGGATATAAACATTATGGTTTTTTAAGAAATTTTAAATTGTGTTTGTGTGTAACATAAAGCTTATTTTCTCATTCTAAGTTTTAAATTTGTGAAGGTTTTATAGAATTATTGTTATCAATGCCTAAAATTTTATTTACTTGTGGGTTCTAACTATTTATTATATCTAATTCCTTTAGTGCTTACAGCATGATCTTATTTATAAATAAATAGCAAAGTAACTGAATTTAATTTTCAGGCTAGAGAAATAATTTCTCTTGAGATAGAGAAAATGCTATTTTATTAATTCAGCTCACTAATATGAATATATATATTTTCATATTTCATTATAGTATGGTTGAGACCCACTGTATCTGACCCAGATAAAATTTTCTTGTTTTAAAACTACATGATGGTCAGGGGTATAGTTTAGCAGCACAAGTGCCTACCTGGTAAGTGAGAGGCCAAGAATTCAATTACTAGAAATCCCCCTCCCCCCCAAAAAAAGACTACATGAGATGCCACTTAACTATCTTTATCATCTTTGTACTATAGATGTTGCGTAGACAATTGAATTAAAACAGTTTTGAATACCTCGTTCAAATAAAATGTCCATTATTTTAGAGCAATGTGAATTGGGGTTAAAAGCTAGTCTTTGTTATCAGATAGACCTAAAATTAGATTCAGTTTTGCCACTTTGCAGCTATATGACTTCTTTCAAGTTACTCACTACTGCTGTAAACTGCTTCATTTTCCTTCATCAAATTTTTACTTCATTTCTAAAATGTTAAGTGATTAAAAATATGTATATATACATAAAATTTTATTTATCTGATAATGTACTTTTTTGCTAGAATATAACTTCAGTAACTACTGAATAAAATAGAAATCTATGCATGAAGTCTAGACTATAGTCAGATTATTGCATAGTTGTATATTGGACTACTTTCTAATTGAGTTACTTAGGTTAGCAAGTTTCTTTTTCTGCAGAACTCATTTGTAAATTGGAAGTAAAAAGACTTTTAATTTTGGAGTTTCTATTTTTAAAATCTGAAAAAATGGTCATATGTCCATTTGAGCAAAGTAAAAGAAAATTTTTTGTTTTTGACAGTGATAATGTTATTTTTGCGATTGTAGACACTTACATAGTTTAAAGACATTGCTCTAAACACTTGTTAATTTTCAGTTAATTCTAGTGAGGTAATTAGAGACAATCATTATTCAAATTACTGTACATAGAGGCAAAGTAACTCTCACCCAGTTATGTGCAAATGAGTGGTACAGCCAGATTCAGAGATCAGTGTTACATTTCCAAAGTCTGTGTTTTAACCACTAATACTATACTGCTTCAGTCCTGTTTGTACCACATCTATCCATCTTCTACTGTGGAATTTATTTGGGGAACGTGGAATAGGAAAAAGGAAAAATAATCTGGAGTGGTTTTTAATATTCTGAACAGAAATAACATAGTTAAGTCTTCTGTTCTTTCCTCAGTTATAAAAATATTATGGTCTGTTTGTCTTCTCTAAGAGTTCACATGAGTTTTTCTAGAATATTGCAGCTTTCCTGTGTTATGTGATAGCATTTTTGTAACCTCATACTACATATCATACTTCATTTTCCACTACCCGAGAAAACAGGAAACAGGAAAGATGTTGCCATAATCTTTCAGTTTTCACTTAGTGTTTCTAGCATCCTTCTTGTAGACACAGTCTTCAACAGTGCTAAAAGTCTAATTTAAATTACTTTTTCCTACCTCAAAGACCACTTAATTTTTATTAAATGATCTTTTTAAAAAGTCCATTCTATATCAAAATGTGTCCTCATTAGTGATATGTAGATCAGTGTGCAGGATGGTTGAAGGTCATTTTAGTTTTGTTTTTGTTGTTTGTTTGGTTTTTTTTACCGGGGGTCAAACTTATGACCTTGCACTTACTAAACAAGCACTTAACCTACCGAGCTGAATCCCTAGTCATCTTAGTTTTTTTTTTTGTTTGTTTTTTTGGGTTTTTTTGTCTTTTTCGTTTTTATCGGTACCAGTGATCGAACTCATGACTGCCTGCTTACAAGGCAGGCGCTTATGCCACTGAGCTAAATCCCCAGCCCCGTCATCTTAGTTTTTATGTTTTAGAATTTACAGTGAAATTAGTGAAAGAAACTGTCAGGGATAAGTCAGATATAATTTGTGTTCAACATTGGAATTGTTCATCTGTGTGTTTAAATATGAGTTTAGTAGGTCTTGAAATTGCTAATCGTACTTGATTTCTTCTGTTCTTCCTTTTAGTTTTTTTGAGAAAGGGTCTTAGTATGTGGTCCAGACTGGCCTCAAACTCAGCATTTTTGCCTTAACTTCCCGAGTGCTGTAATTATAGGCATTCACCACCACATTTGGGATCATACTTAATTTCATCACAATGTAAATACTTTCAACAAGTTCGTCATAATGTTGAGAACAGAGGCCCCCATCTTCTTTCTTTCTATCATTACCATTAACATTTTTTGTTAAGAGACCAGCTTTACCAAAGCTAAGGTTATTAATTTTTTGTTGTGGTTGAATTTCATTTTGTTTTTTGAGACTAGTTCTTACTATGTGGCCAAGGCTGGCTCCAAACTCCCCATGTAGTCCAGAATGACCTCTCATGCTCCTTCTGCCTTAGCCTATCAAGAGCTGGATTTATAAGCATGTGCCACCACATATGGCAAGGTTCTCAGTTTTTGAAAAGTTAATTGGATGGGGTTATGGCTCATTAGTAGAATGCTTCTCTAGCATGTGGAAGCCCTGTGTTTGATATCCAGCACCACCAAAAAATAGTAGTTGTAATAAAATTTGGTGCATTTATTTATCAAATATTAAAGATACATTGTTATTTTCACTGAAAAAAATTACTCCAAGCCAGGAATGGTGGCACAGACCTCTAATCCCAGCACTTGGGAGGCTGAGGCAGAAAGATCATTGCAAGTTTGAGGCCAGTCTGGGGTATACAGTGAGTTCAGTATCTGCCTAAACTACATAGTAAGGCTCTGTCTAAAAAAAGCAAAACAGAACACAAAAAAATCACTTCAATAGGTATCAAAGTTCAAGTCCTCTTCACTGTTCTCTTCTTCAACATATGTTCTTAGATTTATGAAACTTTTCTCTTTTTTTGAGACAGGGTCTCACTAGATAGCCCAGGGTGGCCTCAGACTTCTGGCAGTCCTCCTACCTCTGCGTTTCAGGTGCTAGAATTACAAGTATACACCACCACACCAAACTTATGGAACGTCTTACCAGAA